TGATTAAAAAGTTGTTCGTAGAGAGCAATTTAACAGCAGACAGTGATAAGTTTCACCTGTGCTTTTATTGTGAAATGCAGATGGACAGCAAGACCTTTACAGAAAATAAAATGGGTTCCCGGGGTAACGGCAAGTCAAAAGCAGAGGGTCTGGAAGGCTGGTTATTAAGTAAATATTAAACAATCATTCCAGCCACTAAATGAGGTAAAAAAATTCCCACTGTTATATTCAATAGAGCGGAGGAATGAGATGTGATGTTATGCAATCATTTTATATCAGGAAATGAGCGCAGCACTAACGCTTGCTGCTTAAAAAAAACAAATCAGCACAAACAATATTTTTACCTGCACAAATAAAATGGCACTGAAAAAGTAGGCTAGATCATTTTGAATCAGTTCAGAGCTTAAAGCTACTGTTACACCTTGAGGATTTAGACCAGCATATGCCTGACGTATGAAAAATCTGGCAAAAACGCCCTTCTGTTGGATAAGTTCTGAGTATGTTTTGTGTAAGTTGTGAGGCATGCATGTGTAGGCCGATACACGGCAGAAATAGCAATATCCGCCGGTTGATTTATTGGTTTACCTGTAGTGTAATCCAGGTAAATAGTAAATCATTTAACTATGTATGATGTATTTCCTTCTGCATCTCTTCTATCTTAATATGCTTTATAATTAGACAGAGGTAGAATCGAGTTACACACTGGTGTAGAGATCAACCAAACAAAATTTTTATCAAGCCCGATACTGATTTTTATTTAATCGTTCCATGCGATCCCTGATGTGTGCTGCTAATTACTTTGGGCTGAACCCTTTCATCGATATTATTTACCGTTTACTAGTCCACCTCTACACCAGCGGGAAACGTAGGACTTTATTATCCAGGTTCTTGTTGCTACAATAAGATTAACAAAGAAAAAAAACACTCCTGGTGTGAACCCTGATTATTTCTCCCACATCTGTTCCTTTGGTAAATAGTGACTGGTTGCAATGGTCCCAGCACCAAGTCTCTACTGTGTGTATAAAGCAGAATCATTCTTAATAGGCTGATATGAAGATGTGTTTTTGTTTGCAGGTCAGCGATGAGATGGTCGTTGAGCTCATAGAGAAAAACTTGGACACGCCCGCCTGCAGGAACGGTTTCCTGTTGGACGGGTTTCCTCGGACGGTCAAACAAGCAGAGATGGTTAGAAAGTTAATTTATTCCTCATCGATTTTGATATTTGTTAGGTTTTGGGAAATTAAGTTGTTTTTGTCAATGTTGGAAAAGTTTCTGGGTTCATTTTTGTTATTTATGAAAAGTTCTCCCTCAATGTGATAATTTGTTTTTCTTTTTACAAGCTACATCTCAAAGGCCTCCCTGCTGCATCTTTACTTGAAATGAATTCAGTGTAATTGAAATTGTTGACAAGATAAAGTTTGTTTGGCATCTTTATCAAAACTTTTCTGTTTTTATACTTCTTTGCCAAACATTACGCATTATTTTCCGACTAAATTCTAGATTAGCCTCGTGAGACCATCCTGATCTCGCGAGCTTTCAAGGTTTCACTCGCAGATCAGTCTGGAGACTCTCCGTTTAAGAAAATTTGGAGCCGTTCACCAAACGAACGTCCAATCAGCGTTGGCTTTGAGGCGGGTTGAGGTGTGACGCAACGAGAAGCGCGACAGTTCAGTCTAAAGAACATGGCGGCTTCAGCCGATGAAACTAGCGTTAGCGTGGCTATCCAGCAAGTTTTATCGGAATTACAGAGTATTTCTTCACTGAAAGAAGAGCAAAACACTGCTCTGGAGGCTTTTCTCAGAGGAAAAGATGTTTTTGCTCTTCTCCCGACTGGTTTCGGCAAGAGTTTGATCTATCAATTGGCTCCTCTTCGTCGTCGCTCTGTTAGTACGTCATATGCTTCGTTGATCTGATTGGTTTATTTGGCCCGTCTATCACCAACGTAGGCCAATCAGCTAACCAGTATTTTCGCCCCTTCCCAAAATTACTTCAACGGAAGGTTTCCAGATATGCGGAGCAAATCCATCTGGCGGAGTCAGGTTAATTCTAGATAGGTTCCTTTTAAGAATTAAATGGCGACAAAAGACAAAATGGACATTTTGATAAAATCTTTGCTTTAATTCTCCAGATTCCTTTCTGAGAAGATGAGGAAATATAACATTTTTACTTTATTTCTAGATCTAAATATGTGAGAAGTATGAAATTTATCACTCTATTTATTTCTGATATATGAAAATTTATTTCTTTTTCTTTATATACTTTTTTTTTTTTCACATGTAGATAAACTTTAGTCTACACACCTGTTTTAATCTCATGGGTGTAAACTTCAGTCATAGAACAATAGACAACACATTGATAACTTAATAACATGTTGATTTTATTTACCTAAATACTAACGTTAAATCTTTTTATTTGTCACTAATTGCAGCATCCTTCTTCTCTGGTTAAATTTGCTTTAAGAACTGAACTTTAGAAGTTGGAAAAGTTTGGAGGCTGTAAAGAAGTCTAAACATGTCCAGTATGGTTTTTCCTCCAGCTCGATGGCTTGTTGGACAAAAGGGACGAGAAGCTGGACTCTGTGATCGAGTTTTCTGTCGACGACTCCCTGCTGGTTCGCCGGATCTGCGGCAGGTTAGTAGGCGTCCAGAATCACAAGGTGTTATTAAGATGCAGACAGTTTTAAGTTTGATGAGCAGCCTGGGTTATAGCTGCTTCTTTTTTTTTCTCATAGCTCCAGGGCTTTTTCATTCCAGCGGTTCCTCTGCTGATTCACTGCCAGCGTTTAACTGGCAGCCGTATTTTTTGGCTTCATGCCAGGGGGGGAAAAAAAGAAAAAAATTAAAGCTACTGCAGTAACATGTTTGCTGGTTAAATGCAAGCAGAGCTAAGATCAGGAATCAGCCGACCCAACCCGGTCTGCTCTGACTAGAACCAAAGGGCTGCAGGATGAGTTGGAACCACAACAGAAAGGTTAACTTATTGAACAATGCTGGATGAAGCACATGGAGCAGCGCTTAGAAATGTCTAAACTAATGTGGCTCTTGAATTGAGTGAAGGAACATTACTGGGAACCAGTGCAGGATGCAGATTGGACCACTAGGTGGCACTGCTGGACTGTGCATGATCTGCTTGGCCTGAGATGTTATCTGGGTTACAGGGGTTAAATCAGTTAATTTCCTCTACATATTTATTAAAATTAAGTTTATGATAAATGATGATCGATCCTTCCCTGAAGAAGAAAAGCTTTTATGTTCTCA